GTAGCTCTTGTAGAGACAGCTTTGGTGGAGCAGGGTATATTGTTCTTATATAAATTCTTAGCATGATTTAATATACCTACACAGACTCAGCTTGGATTCAAACCATAACCCAACTTATCTTTTTTTTTCCTGGTGGCATTTGACAGTGAACACTGGGAATTTAACAAGAGCACATCGACTGTATACTTCCTTTTTTTAATTATTTTTTTTTAAGTTACAGTACATTTATTGTGTATATTATTACATACACAATGAATAAAATAGCAGAAGTTGGAGCCTGGACCCTTGCAACCTATTCTTGGCTGTGTACAGACATGTTTGTCTTACCTTGGGTGAGCTAGCCCATTGCCCCACAGATGAGCTGCTTCTAATACTTTAGATGCCCCAAGTACCCCAAGAAGACGTTGTGAATTAAGGCCTCCAAGTGCTTTGAGATCCTGGGAAGAATGGCAATGGACCAAGTATAAAGTATTTAATAACTGGGAGCCAGAAACAGAAGGGTAAACTAATAACAAGGGCTGCACAGACATTTGTAAAAGAGGACAAGCAGGAAATACAAGAGAGAGCTTGGGCTTAGCAAGCTCAGTAGTGCTTGGTGATCTGTACCTCTGAATATTTAAGACAGTGGTTTTAGTTCCAGGCTGAGCACCAGTTTGCCTGCAAACTGCAATGAGGTACAGCTGTTCATCAGGCCAGGAAATCCAAAGGAGGATTCTCGCCAGGGATCTTGGGGTTTTATGAGGCACTCAGTGGTGACAGCATCTCTGGACGCTGGAAACATATGGAAACCTGCAGACACGTGACTGCTCTGAACAAAAGAAAGATCGCTTCACTTCTGAACTCCCTGAGCCTCCAGACAAAAGGCTGTGCAAATGTTCCAAGCAAGATATCCCGGACCAAAAGCATTCAATTCATTGGAACAGACAGTAACATTTTAAGTTACTTTCACAGAATGTACCTAATTATGTCATCACAAACTATAAAGGCTGTAAGAACACATGCTAGAGCCAATCTCTTGACATCATGCACACATGCTTAATGTCTTACTAAATCTTACAAGTGCGAGAATAACATCTTTGTTTAACAACAAAGAAGCAATGCTGGGTTTAGTTGTCTTAATCACCTTATGTATAAGATTACTTTTTTCTAGAAATCCCCACTCATATGAGCAAGTGTTTGCTGCAATGTCACTACAGCACTGCTGTCTTCCACTTGCTGTTTAATTTTCCTTTTTCTGGAAGAAGGTTCTCAATGTGCTTCACAGACAGTAGATCAGGTATAGTTTCTGTTTTCCTTTCTCCACTTATTCCTGTAAAAATAGGACTATGACAAACTGAAATAGATAATAAACTGTAATATGCCTAAAATAACTACAGCAGTAACAGCCAGCCAATACTTTCAGCTGCTTTTGTGAGGAGTTAAGCAAGCAAAGTCATTAAGCAGGAGCAATCTGAATGTTAGGAAATGTTCATGGAAATCAAATTTGGGACTTGAAACTGTAAGTATCTTCACCCAAATCCTGATTCCAAGCACTAGTTTAGTCCAATCAAAGTAACCAACGCAGCTCAAATTTTATACGCCGTGTAGTCATAACAAGCTGCTTGAGAACAATCTACAGATCAAGACAATTTCAAATGATGAATTAATTCATTAAAACCTTACACTGTTCAGAAATCATTTAAACACATGGAAATTAGGCTTAAAAACATTAAATATACTATATTTTAAAACTGTCTTTGAAGATAATACTCATCTTAAAATATTAATAAAAGTGAATAAAATACTTGAAAAATATGAGCACGAGAAACATGGTCAATTTAAACAATGTTCCAGTTTGCACATTGACCTTCTACTAGCATCTCCATGTCTTACCAATCTCTTAGTAAAACATTTCCATGTTTTTACATATCTGGCTTATGGACAAACTCCAAATATTTAGTCCTGAGTTAAATGTTGAAGTCTGCTGCATATATGGTTCAAATAGCAGAGAAAACTCAATTATCAGGGCAAATATTTTAGGGCAGACCTTTAATATTTAAACTCATCATCCCTGCAAAGTTCCCCGTATTTATCAGCATCGTGATTAATGGATGAATGGTTTTCACTTGCCAGAGTAAAAGGTAGGGTCTAAACTCAATGGACAGATGAAGAGATTATACATCACATTTTATACAGCCTCTTTCATTATATCAGGTAAGTTACTGAGAACCTGCTACATGTAGGGTAGGTATAAGCACGTGAAAGCTTGCTCTCTGTTTTATTAATGGAAGGGACCAGAGGTAAGTCCCCTACTCAGATATGTCCCTCAGGAGATAAAAAGTAATAAATAAGGTAGTGATGTGAAGAAATACTTGGAGAGCAGTCTTTCAGGGCCACATCTGGAAAATTATCTCAAGAAGAAAAGAAGAATGTTCAAGAGAAGTATTTACAGCAATAGAAGCTAGAGCCAAAACACAAGGTATCAGTTAAAGTGTAGGGCCCCAAAAGAAACAACAAATTTTCAGCTTCAAGCCTGTCTCGAGGCTCACCAGGCTATTGTGTAAGACACACTATAAAGTGGCATGTCTCCACTGCAGACTTCTGTACAGCAGGTAAAGCAAAAAGATAAAGCCTCATGTTTGAGGCGCAGACATGTACAATGAGACATACCCCAAGGGCAGCAGCAAAACCAGAATCATCTCTTCTTGAATCCCCAGCTGTCCAGCCTCCAGGCACTCACCTCTACAACCTTTAGCCACACTAACAAATGGAAGGTGACAGCTGTACTCTTCCTATTCATTCCCTGCCTTTAATGCTGGGAGAACGAGGAAAGAGAGTTGGGCCAAAGCAGTAATCACTATGGATGAATACTGCAATTCTCTTGGATCTCGTGATGGCAAGGTTACGGTCTCTGTGGCTATACACTTCTTGAGATTCATCTCTGCTTCCTACCATGCCCAATTTGCCCTCACTCTACACTGCCTGTTATGTATTAAACCTGCCTAGCAGTCAGGTCACAGGGTTTTATCCTTTTTCTCCATAGCTACTCGACCTCAGCCCAGCCAACGAACACCGTCTTGGCCAAGAAGCTCAGAAGAGAAGTCTCCACAGCAATTAGATGGTAAGTTTCCTTCACCACCTCAACCAGTGAGTTCTGGGGACTTTCTGACAAAACACATCCTTCCTCCTATTCCTTTTCGACCATCTATATTGGAGATCATGGTAACACAGGGATATGGGAAAGCACATTATGCCCTCCAGAAGGTTCTCAACGAAGCTTGACAGAAGTAAATTCAGGATTTCCCTGGTGAATCTGCATACTAATGATGTAAGAAAAATCAATTACAAATTTCTATTTGTCTTTATAAACTTCACAGGAGAAATCACAAAAAAAGAAGGTTTTTGGAAGCCTTTAATTTTGAATTTGAAGTCCCGAACAAAAAAATGTATTCTGAACTGGCTTACCATACCAGAAGGTTTAATGTAACACAAGCTAAAGAAGTGCACAGGCATTGTTTTTGTTTCATATAATTAAATGTTTGTCTGGTTATAATTATGACTTCTAATCCTTCAGAGGTTTAATTCAGTTTTTGCATGTCTTAGTCCCAATCCAATCTAAGCAAGATACTTTGAATTGGAATACACCACAACTACCACGAGTCTAGCTCTCCGAGTTCAGTTCTATTGCTGGTGGTATCCTACACAAATGTGTGAGGGACTCTCCTGCCTCACTTAGCAACAGTGGTCAAACATGTCACAGCATATGTACCAGAACAGTTTACTATCTGAATTACAGTATGTGTCATCCAGAGAACCCTGATACTGTATGCAAGGCTCATGAAAACTGGCCAGCAATTTTAGCATCATGAATTACAGGAGAACATATCTACTTAAGTATTCAATCGAGCAGGAAAGTTTATTACTTACCATATAATCTAAAGAGTGGTTGTAAATGCATAAAACTAGCCAATGGACTTCATAGCACTTTCTGTAATAAAAGAGCTGCTGGCCTTTTGGCTTAGGGTGTGTCCATACTGCACAAGAAAGACCAGGAAAGGTCCTTGCAGTTAAATAAGTTCTGAAACTGGAATTGTGACAGCCAGGTCTCGCTGAAACACACCAGCACTAGACAAGCCAATTCATGCAAGAGAAAGGTTTAAGTAGCTGTTGCTCTGACTTTTAGCTGCCTTCATCACCTCACTTGGGTATCTGTAACCACAGACATGTCACATCAGTGTGACCTGGATCCAGCAAATCAAGCCTTTGGCAGAGTTCTCAGAGACACTTCTGGGCCAGAGGATGAAAGAGGTTTTCAGAAAGCCTGTGAAATCTGAAATGAATGTGAAAGTGGGATTGGCACTGGACATTAGCAACAGGGACAAAAGATGGCTCTGATGCATTAGAGTCCAACTGACCAATTAGGAAACTATTTGTGCCCTTTTATTGGCCAACATCCCTCCACCAACTACATGGACAACTAGAAAATGTGCACAAAATGTGCTCTAGCTAGAATCCTCCTAGCCTTGTTTGCATATGAAATAAAATCAACTCTTGATTTTCTACTTCAGGAGTAGTTCAACTGGACAGAAGAAACTGCCCATTTGGGAGCAATCTTTCACATGCTAATTCCAGCACGAGTCTGCAAGTGGGATACTCCCCTTACTTCCAGCAGTGGAGTTACTTGTGAGGCCTGGGCCCATTAATGCATGTGAACAAAAGAAAAATGTTTCCATTATTTGCCATTTTTACTAGAATAAGCATCTTCTAGCAAAAAAACCCCGCTGAAATCAAGGCAAAATAGCTTTTCCTGCGAGCAACAGAACAAAGTCATTAGCTATCCCAGAGAGTACGTTTGTGTTCTGTCCCACAGGGTTTAAAATTCCTGACCTGTAAAAGGAGGGAAGTCTGGATTCCTGTCTCGTTCCTGTCATCTTTATCTGTTCTCTCTGCATAAGTAGGTACGCTTACAAAGGGCTACTTTAAAGGAAATATGCTTAGATCTCAATGGATGTCCCTTTTGGCACCGAAGATTTACTTTAATGTGTAGTAGCAAACACTGTAGCAAAATAATAATAATAAAAAAATAATAACCTTGCTAAAGTTGCCCAAGCCTTTGCTACGAGCAGGAATAGATTAAGGAACTACAATAAAGAGAAGATTTTGCTTTGAAGTTTTTTTATCTGAATGTTGCCTTACTATGTGACTGACACGGACACCTAGCCACACGTCTCAGTGAACAACAGACAAACAAAGGAGCTTAACATTTGCAGTTGTGGTGTAGCAGAACAAGCTGCAGTGTAAGTCATCTCCCTGATCTTGTAGGCAGGTAGAGCTCCTGCATATACATTGCTTATCCTTGCTTTCTCATTCACAAGAACAGAAGGGGAAGAAAAATTATGTCTGTTTTCTCTCTTTACAGAAACAACTTTGCCTGAACTCTGCACTTTAGCAGGAATTACAGAATTTCACTTGCTTAGTACTTTCCAGAACACTTCCTAACCTCAAAGCATCCTTCATTAAATGAAATATGGAGAAATACAGCAACTTATACCAGGCAGAATAAAGTTGCAGCCTGCACTGATAATGCCTCTGTAATTCATGTCACTTAAATCACTGGTTATGTGGGATCTGGCAAGTCAATGAGCCTTGCTAAAATTACAGAATCTTATTAATTCTGCCTTTTATGAGTCCTTTTCTACCTAGTTTGAGGACACTTGGCCCATGCCCACAGTTCAAGAGCTAGTAGAACCATCTCTTAAAGAACTTTTCAAAAAGCACAAAACCTGTCTGGTAATCCTATGTTTTTGTGATATTTTAGTACTTCCACAATGAACCCTAGCTTATAAGAAGATCATCAGAAACAAACTTGACATGAAGAAATAGAACTGGGAGTTCATGTGCCTGTATGAAATCCTGAAGAACTTTTTTTCTTTTTTTTTTAAGGGAAGCAGGCATAACAGGCACAGCCCTCCTACCAAGTCCACTTCTAAACTGCTCAGGTGCCTCCAGCATTTCTTTTTCCTGAGTACGTTCTGTTTCCTACCTATAAACTAGGAAAGGGATGACAGAAATTTTTCAGTTGCACCAAAGACATAAGAACTGGGAACCACTGACTAAAGCCCATTGACTTTCAAAATCTGTGCATTCTCTTGTTGAGCTCTTTAGGTCACAGCTACTGACCTTTATTTCATGTGCTGCAAAGCTGTTCCAAGCAAAGCAACAGTTCTGTATGATGCTGTTTTACTAACAGGGCTGGACAGAAAAATGCCTGAGGTAACAACACTAGATGTTATTCAGGCATGGAGAACAAGTGCCTTTCCAGGGTTTCCCTCAAGAATTAGCCCCTGGAGTGCTCCTGCACCTGGCTTTGCCAGGGAGGTGTGGTACTATGGGTGTTTTTCATGCCTGAAAGCTGAGTCATCACTTCAGGCCACAGAAGCAAACCTAATGAAAGGTGAGATTTTTCTTTTCCTTGCCACCCTTTGACATGTTTCTGTGAAGATGCCCAATTACTGGAATAACAAGTACAGCCAGTAATCTGCTATCGCTGTCCAACTAACAAGAGGAGCTCATGCCAACATACACCTTACATGCATTTCTCCTTAGTAATGTTGGATAATGCTTTGTAAATAAATAAATGTACCAAAACCACTTAATCTTCACAGTGAGTAAGAGCAGAGAAAGCCACAGGAGACAGAAACACTGACACACAGAATATTACTTGTGACTTGTCTATTCTAACATCCTGCTTCTTGCCTGAGCCATGTACCAAGTGTCTTGGGAAAAAAAAAAAAAAAAAAAGAACAAGAAAACCTGTTAGAGGTAAGATTTGGGATATATTACCCTTTAGAAGGTTGTTATTTGGGGTTTTTTTGCGGTGATCACTAGAAGTTAAACCCTAAAGCTTGAGGTTAGTATATCCACTTAACATGTTTGTTAGTATTAACAGCTATAATTCTGGATATTCTGGTTATTTATACAAAAGCATTCAATCCCTCTCTTAATCCTGCTAAATCCCTTGGCCTCAGCGATGCCTTATGGCAACCATTTTCACAGTCAAATCACATCCATAGTCAGGGACTTCAGAGCTTGCAGGCTTGCTGCCATGGAGCTGGTTAATACAGCAGCTCTGCAGGCCTGAGAAGGCTCAGCACTAGCTATAACTCTCTACCTACAGGGCACAACAAAGTACCAGAGGCAGTGCCATCTCACCAGCCCTTGCTGGGAAGCAAGGTGCAAAATCCAAGGCACAGGTTGGCTTCTAGCCCCCCTCAAATTAACTCAGTCAGGGTAATTTTGCTGTCTGCCCTCCACATCAGTATATCTGTATCCCCATTCTTGGCACTAGAGTAGAACCCAAAGATCTATGACTCTTGACAACAGGCACAGATGATCCAGGACTTCTGGGTTTCCAAATCCTCTTTACTTAGCAAGACTGGCAAGCAGTATGTACTTGAGAAATAGAGCTGCTGCTGAAGCAGGAGACTTACAGCTTCGGCTCTAAGGCTTTATTTTAAAGTGAAATCAAAATAGACCAAGAGAAAGGTACTTAATTTTTGAGTTACCATAGAAAATTCAATCTTTTTCTTTTTTCCTTGCTCTTTTTAAACAGAGCAAGAGTTCTAACTACTTCTCACAATCACAAGTTTTGCACCTGTGCCAAAGGTGCATTTGGAATTCACACGGTCATTCCTGTAGTCACTGCAGCACCAGTGAAAGGTGCACACAGCTTGCCCTAAAGAAATGCAGCCTCAGCCAGGATTTTGTGCACAGACTTTGGGAGGCCATCAAAATACAGGTCAAAATGGTAAACTAGGGACAACAGATGTTGTGTGGTATGACACACTCAAAGGTTTTATCCTCTTTGTGATTTGTTATTGCTACTGTCTACTGGTCAGAGACAATTAAAAGCAGCAAATTTACTTTGACGTGATGGTTAAAAACTTGCTGCAGAGAGCCTGATGCACAGCACGGACACACCTTTGCTGAAAAAAAAAAAAGATGTTGCAATTTTTGAAAAAAAGAATTGCTTTTCATTTGAATTTCCCCAGACGTGCCACTACAGAACTCTATAATCGCATGCCAGTAGCATTTCTAAAAAGATTCACTTCCTGGACAGCTTGTGAGAGGGTCTACATTCTGTCAGTATGCTGCCCGCACTAACATTGTAAAAAAAAAACAAAAAAACCAAGCATAGATCAACATTATTTACGATAGCTTAGGAACTGTCAGGCCTCTGCACACTTCCAGAGTCAATCTGCAGAGGGTAACTATTAAAAGTAGTCCATGAACAAATTCATACTGTATATGATTCTCTCAATATATTTTTAAAAAATATTTGCCTCTACCGAGGAGGATAAAAAAAAGATCTATATAAATTGAGGAGAGAAACTAAAGTGATACTTTTGGTAAATGATTTGTGAGAAGACATATTTAAAAAGTCATCAGTGTAATATCTGAGCCTGAATCTGCCAGACAGAATTAAGACACCTTAGACTACACCAGCATAAATATTTCTGCTGGTTTTGATGCTCTCCAAGGTCTCAGAGAAAGCTGAAAATTGATAAACCTGGATGAAAAGGAAGCATAAAGTTTTTTTAAAAAGGAAATAAAATCACTGTGGATCATTTTTTAAAGTCTTGTGACATTTACACCAGTTTCAAGATATCTTAATAGAATTGGGAGAGAACTGGGAGAGAAAATTCATGAGCTTTGAATACTTGGATTTGGTAAGTTATACAATTCCACTGGAATTCACATCATTATGGGATTCAGATCAAAATCAATCTCCTTGTTGTAAAAATCCTTCACTGACCTAATCTGTGAACTGTGGCCCCTGTATTCAAAAAGTACTTGCTTTTTTTCCATCCTTTCACTCACTCTTGCTTTTCTCTCCCACAACTCCCTACACCTGCTTTGTGATTCACCAATCCACCCACACAAAACTCACCAAGAGCAAAAAAAGCAAACTCTCACTCCCACGAAATTTCTTTCTATCACTTTGTTTTCCCCTTGATTTCTCTCCCCTTCCACTATTGTTCACTATTTGTCCTGATTACAAAAAGCTACTGCAAAAGACAGGGAAACATGAAGCATCCCATTTCCACTTTCCATTTCCTATTTATTATAGTTACCTCTACACCTACACCAGACTGCATATGCTATCCTATTTATCCCTGGAGTGATGGTGGATACTTTGTGAGGGATCTTAAAATAAATAAAACTTATCATCCAGATGTAAAAATAGGATTGAAAAAAAAAAACAACCAAACAAACAGCACACACACACACACCAACCCCCCCAACAAAAAAAAGCAAACCCACTCAGCCTTCCCAAAACTCAAACACCAAAAAACACAAAAAACTCCAAACAAACACGATGCTAAGACTAGAGACTGCTAAGATGGGGAAAAGTATAGTTATAAAATAGATGGATTTTACATCTTCCTAGAAACAGCATGGCAATATCTTCTCCCACTGACAAAACATCACCTATAGCAACATTTTTGTACAGGAGTAGTAAACCCTTGGCAGCTCTGCTTTGGAAACAGCATTAGACTTTAAATCTTTCCTGAGCACACTTATGTTGAGCAGTTCAATGCAGCCCTGGAAGAGCACAACAAGGACTAGATGCCTATCTACACATATATAACTTGAAAATAACCTACAAACTTTATTGATTTTGGAAGAAAACTCCAGGTATCTCACATGTTTACCAGTTCAGAACAGTTCATGCAAAGGTTCTTTTATGACTGCACCAAGGGGATTAAATATATTTATTTTTTAGTTGAGAGATTTTGACTCAAGGGAAGACCTGCACCAACATCACCGCTGTAGCCACCTGGAGGATGGAAAAATCATCATACAGGTAAAAAGCTGTAACCTTTCCTTGGGTTGCTTACAGTGGGAAGCAAATAGGCAATAACTCCAGGTGCATGTTCATCATATATCCGATACCTGCATCAGGTGAAAAGGAAGAGCAGCTCTTCAAAAGGACCAGGGTATAGGAGGCAGTGTTAAGAGTCCTACTCAGATGTACTTAGATCCATATCCCACAGGAATTCAACAGAAAACCTGCATTTCATGGAATTATTCTTCTGGTAATGAAGAGAAAGAGAAGTACCAAAACACAGGTTGCAGCAAAGGACACTGAGTTCTTTTTCTTGCTCCATGAGGTTTTGCTCATTTGCTCTGCCTGCTTGTAAATCCAAAAGCTGAAAAATCAGACCTTCAGTGTCCCATTCTCCCCTCTGACTTCACCTTTTTGTGGTGTGCTTTTCTGACCTTTCACTGTAAAACCTTCTCCACTTTGTGCTGCAACTCAGGGGGTTTGTCCTTCAGACCACACTACTCAAAGTAATAACCTCAGCCTCAAGGACAGTCTGAGGTAATACCTTTGACTTGATCATCTGTGCTCTTATATGAGTTTCACATGCAAACCAGTTCAGGGGAAGTATAAAAAACCAGAAACATTCGATAAATATAACTGTAGGGTTTATTTTGTTGTATGAAAGCACATATTCATCAAGTACCAGTTATCACAAGCCTGAAAAAAGATCCTCTATGTCCAACTCCTCAAGCAGAAAGCAAAAATAAGTTTGTGGTTCCACACAGCTCTGCCCTCAGTTTTGTCTATCCAAAATTTATTTCCATCATCCCAAAGTTGTGACACTACTCTATGCATACACACTTGCTAAAGAGAAAGAAGAAACTAGACACTGGGAAACAGGAGCCCTGTCAGCAAACAAGAAAGAGCAGCACTTAGTTAAGGAAGTAAAGTAGCAGTCAGTCCCAGAGCAAGAAAGGACAGATGGCATTTTGTCCTGCAACAAAAGTGGAGTTAAGGGGAAAACTGGACAAAGGAATTCCTTCAGGTCCATATTTAATGAAGGAACTCCATGTGCTACTATCCACTGTCAAGACACAGCAAATTTCAGTAAGCCTCAAGGCAGCATCTCAGTACTGCCCCAACCTAGAATACAGTTAAAACTGAGGATACTTAGAGGATATTTTGTCCTGCATCATTTCACACATAATCCCATGATTTTGAAAGTCTAGGAATAGCAAAGAGAGTGTTCCATATAAAATGGAGCTTTAACCAGCAGAATATGAATATGGAGAAGCAGTGCTATTTCCATTCCCCATATTTCCCTCCCTGCTTCATCTTAGTCCTTATCCATCATCTACTTGGAGATCACCCCTCAGGCCAAACCCAACTGGCACTTAAGTATAATCACATCCATGCTTCCAGAGAGGTTATGGCAATGTAGCTTCTGTCCACACTACACTCCTGTAAGTCAGTGTGCATGCATGTGTATGTGTTGGGTAGTAGAATGGCAAAGAAATGCTTACTATTACTGTGCTTTTTTGGAACAGGCTGCCCAGAGAAGTTCTGGATACCCCATTCCTGGGATTGTTCAAGGCCAGGCTAGATAGAGCTCTGAGCAACCTGGTCTAGTGAAAAGTATCCCTGTCCATAGCAGGGAGGTTGAACTAGATGATCCTCAAGGTGTGTTCTGACTCAAAGCATTTTATGATTCTATGACTTTTGACGGCCACATACACAGCCTTCAAAACCTGCTACAAAATCCAGACTAGGATTTCAGTGATTCAGTGGGAACAGGTTTCTTTATGCTGTTTGTCATGCCCATGGACACAAAACGACTTCTCTTCTGCCGTGGGATGCCTGTGTTTCTCTGTTGTTCCTGTGCTGAGCAGAGACTTAAGATATTCCAGTGCCTGCTGGGAAGCAGATTCTACTTCCCCAGCCTGCAGAGGTAGTCACTGTCTTTGATTTTGCACCTTTGAATTTAATTGGGTTCAAAGATCAATGAAAACAGTCCAGAAGTAACTCACAAATTTGCTTAAATGCTGGAGAAGAAGTATTAGGAAGAAAAAAAAAAAAAAAAGTCGCATTTATCCCTTGCATCTCTCCAAGAAAAAGCAAATCATCATTAATTACCAAACACCATGCTGGTTTTTTGCCAAAAATAGGTCAAGATTGCTATATTATGCATTGGCCTATCTTATTTAAGCCCCATAAAACAAATTCCTTGCTGGTTTGTTTTTTTTCACTATTGGATTTATTTTATTTGCCATTCGTTAAAAAAAAAAAAAAAGCTAATAACAGTACAAACAACCCAGATATGTTCCCTTAAAACACCAACAAATCATTAACTGAGCACCAAGTTAATAGCTTAAGAATATAAAGTATAATATATAGTGATAGGAAAAAAAAGATTTCAAGAGCACAGAACTATTACAACTAGTTTTGAGAGAGCTCAATGTGAAATCAACCAGAAAATGATCATTCCAC